GTATCGCGACCCCTGCACCGTGGAATTCCGCGCCGCACCGACCCTTATCGCCTCGCGCACCGCACCCCATATCGCGACACCCGTCACTGGTGGAACCTCTCGCGCCGCACCCCGTATCGCGACCCCACTGTCGCCACTGGACATGCCGCGAAGTTGCATAGCTTCACAAGTCACAACACTCACGAGGATCCCGGGTTCGGGGGGCCCATCCCTGTGACTGTTGGCACTTTTGAGACAAAAGTGACGACCCTCACGAGGATTTCGGGATATTTCGGGTGTATACCATGGGGGTGGGGGCATACCGACACGCGACGTGAGGCCATATATGCTACATATATATATATGTAGTGTTTATGATGTATCGTAATGCTATATTTGTCATTACTTGTTTGTACAACATATGTCAAAAGGTTTTGTATATGAGTATATATCATATTACTACATATTGTACTATATCATATCACATTGGTTTCTACTTCATTACGAATTGTGTCGTGCTTTTTCCTACAAGAGTTTGTTGTGTAGGCGAGAGTTCGATTTTCTGCCCGTATATCATATGGCTTGGAAGCCCAGACGTATGCAAAGAGTTGTGGATAGTTAGACACTTGTGGCATTTGGTAAGTGGACGTATAAGCTTTAGAACCCCAAGCAAACCACGCATAACCCGGCGTACCAAGCCCCCTGATCCGTGGGTCAGAGTCCTTAGAAATCTGTGTGGTCCACGGAGCTGTCTTGTCAAGAGACGTGCATGAATTGGCTGACCGGGAAGTATGCTCCAATTGCCTAGGTGCTGCATGGTGCTGCCCTCCCTGCAGCACTCAGGGCCTCCAGACCAGTTCCCCAACCCCCCGCACCAAGACGTAAAAGCAAACTCCGCCGTTTTGGGTTGTCGGGACCCGTGCGGATGTGTTGCGGACAGTGCCATGATTACCGAACGAATCTCAAAGGTCGAAGGCGGCAGTGAAACTGCCGGAGTCTTGCATGATAAAGTTGAAAAGACTGTTGCATCAGCAAACGACTGGATTGAGTGATGTCAGAGTCTGTGGATGTAACAGCAGCTATCAGCGCGATGAGAGGTGGGGCAGCCTGGACCCACCCGGCTCGATATCTGGCTCCGTTAGCGCCGTTACCGCCCAGGCTTCCGCCACACGAGTCGATGCATCGGTCTGGATTTCCAGTCTATCACGTACAAAACATTTGTGACTCGAGCTACGGGGCTTCCGTGCGAGAAGGACGGCGAGACTGCAGATGCTGAGTCCGAAAATCATTGCTTTCAGGTATCGTCCCTCAGATTAAACCACTGCTGGCTCCGCCGCTTGTTAGCCTGACGATTTTCAGGTAGAAACGCTCTGGCGCCCAGAGTGGTGTCAGCAATGTGACACCTTCTTGGCAGGGCTATGGGAACAAGGCTGGAGGAAACGAGTTTGGATGGCCTGTCCTTGATTTGGGTCCCAAGGATGTCGCTGCACCTACTGCAGGAAGCTCGTATGTTCAGCGCTTACACCTTAAAATTGATTCGTTAGCATCTTGCAGGGCCTCTGAGGTAGCACCCAGGTCATTCTTGTGCTGAAGTGCAAGCGCTTTGCGTCGAACGCAAGATGAGGCGCCACTTTCTGCATACCGGTGTTGCCTCGTGCCTTGTGGCCAGCGCTTTCAGGATAGCTGCAAACAACGAGGCGAAGCTGAGATCGAGGAGTCCATTCAGAGTCCATGGTTTCTCCCACCAATGTGTCTGTGCGACCAGGATCCACGAGCTTGAAGCTTTGCTGGCTTCAAGAGGCATCTCAAATTCTACTCGAGCTTCGTAAAGGCAGCGCGCGGTATGGCCCCTCACTGCAGGTGGCATGGGCATGGCTGTCTCATCGAGGGTACGCAGCCGCGATTCTAGCCCTCACCGGGAGACTCAGGAGCATGTGACGCAGCATCTGACGGATGATTCTCCGAAAGTTTGAACTGTCGCAGATGGCTGCAGGAGTCGTGGACATCCCTCAGTTCAATCAAGCACTTGCATGGGCTACAGGGCAAGTATCTAGCAGATGCCATGCAGGCCGGCGAACAAGTCAATGTGTCGAGCATAAAGATTACAAGCTGAGAAGTGAAGCCGTGTCCTTCGAAGTTACCTGGAGTCGTGTTCCGGCAGTAGCTCCTTTGCGGCTTGCAGGAGTTGTTTTGGACAGATTACTTCTTGGCTGAGTTTAGGGGCCCCTTGGTCCGCTATATCTGGGATCTGAGTTTGTGGGTGGGGGGGGGTAACCGTGGGAAATAGTATGCAAGCCGAACCCCAATACCACTACAACTGACCAGCTATTTGCACAAAGAAGGTCCCTACTACAACTGGAGCCGATCTTGTTTGTTGTTTTGTTTGTTTGGTTTTAGGGATCTGTGCACGTGATTCGGTTGTTAAGGGGTCTCTTAGGGCCTTGTCAAAGGTTCTACAGGGTCTGCATTTCGCTTCAGACACCCCTCCTGTTTTTAGGGCATTCTTAAGGTTCTACCAGGTGATTCAGGGCATTCATATAGGTTTCAAAAGGTCTCTTGACGTGGATGACACGGTGCTGACTCATGCTACTTACAGTGCTGATGATGATTGTCATGCAAACCTTAACCTCAAACAGAACACGAAGCAGGGGAAGGACCAGGAGCAGGAGGAGGTGTAGTTATGGTGGATAGTAGTTAGCAGCTGGTGGTTCATGACTAGTCGGTCAACAGTTAGCAATTTTTTGTTAGTTGTTCTCTCTAAAATGAATATGATTCCTTAAAGGTTCAACTTCAGGTTGCGGGATAGGGCTTCTGGTTGTGGTATCGGGGTTCCGGTTGTAGTAGGGGCTAGTCGCGGGGACCGCGACAACGACCTTATGCGTCGATCAATCAGGAGATTCGACAGGCCCCCGGTACACCCTCCCCCTCTCCCGAGGCCCACCCCCCCCAAACCCCCCCTTTTGCATCGATCAGTTTGTAGCAGCGTGAGATTTCGGTCTGGTATATTCCGGTTCAGTCTTTGCGATATGTGCACATATCTTTCACTACGGAGGAACAGCGCCCTGCGCACGACGCATGGAACATGGCATTGAGAGGGCTCTATGGACTTCAGGTAGCAGCATCGCATAGCATCGCCGTCCAGTTCGCAACACAGCATTCAGTATGGGACAGAATTTGCGCGGTGCTGATTCTTCTGGAGTGGGATCAGTGTTTGCTTGTCATCACTGTTTGTCTTCGGTCTTTCTGATTTTTCCACAACCGCTCTGGTAGATTTTGGGAGCCCTAGTCCGTGCTGAGTCGAGATGATAGCAGGCTTTGATGAAACGTTAGAGATTTCTTGGGTCCTGCCTGGCCGCAGGTTCCTGATGTGGAGCTTCAAGACTATCTGTACTCGAAGCCGCTCTTTTCTGCAAATCTCCCGATGAGCTTGCCGGAGGTGCAAGCAATCCTGCTGCGGCCTTCCTTCCTGGAAAGCGTTTTCCGAGCAGACGTGGGTGCTTTCGACATTATCGGATCCAAGTGGGACAAAGCATCCCAGGAGCGCCTTGGCAATCCTTAGCATGCACTCATGCACTGCCAGACTTTCCCGACTCCATGCTTTGGCAATCACATGCAATCACCACGAGGCCGCACACCTGCATCCGCGGCTTTAAGTACAAAGTGCCGATTCCAGATGACGTTCCACATGCAGTTCGGGCAGTTCTTACGCTGCCTCCTCATGCAACGTGTAAAGCCTTCAGCCGCCTCAAAGCAAATGAACGTGAGGTCCGTGGCTTACAGTCTTACAGGGAATGTGTTCCTTTTAGGTACATGTCGCGTGTCAAGAGTCCAGAATGATGCATCGTAGTGAGCCTTGCAGGTTGTCTTGACGCTCCAGTTCATTTCGGAGGGGATCCCGTTTTCTGAGAACGTCCGAGTGCAGGCAGGAGCATCTTTGTGTGTGACGTTGCCGGATCGAATCAGACCGGTAAAGCCAGACGACATACCACAGTACACCCGAGCCACGGCATGAACTAAGACCTCTCCGAAGTTTGGACAGATCGATGTGGTGGTGCATCGACCCGATCGAAACGCATGCCTGTCGCAATACGGCCACCTGTTGGTTGAGTTTGCGTTTCGCTTTGTCGTTATCAGCTGTGTGAGAGGCTTGTAGCTCCATCGAATGCATGGTCTTCCGATAGAAGTCGCTGACACAACATGGCGGAAAAAAGTCCAGTGAAGGCGTGCCCGAAGGTGCCACGACATGCAAATGGCCTTGCGAAACAAAGGCCGCCCGAAGCTAGACAGTAGTTCGGAAGGTGACGGATGCGATTGTACCCGCTCAAGTCCATGGCCAAGGCTCTTGCGTGAAGTCAGCTTCTTCGTGCGTGACAGTGTGCCATGCTGTGACCCTGAGTGGTTCTGGAGAGGACTCGTGTTGAGAAGGTGGGCAGTGGTTATGTGGATGAAGGCCCCGGCCGAGCAGCAGATGTTATTATTAGTCAGGGGCATGCGCTGCAACCTTCGCTTGTGCGCATCGGTCTTTGCCATTTCTCAGATGCTGCTTCAGCAAGGAGTTCCCATTTACCCTGCGCTTCCTGAAGAACATTGTGGTGTCTCAGGCGATCAATGTACGTTGGAATATGCCGCGTTCGTTTTGTCATCCTTGATGCTGTCATGTTGTTTGCAGGTCATGGACCGGTCGCGGAAAACTGCCCAGATACTAGTGGACCAGCTGCTTCTGGCGCGCGTGCCGACTTCCGGGTAGCAGCGGACTCCTCGCGATTCGCTGCAGCGAGTTAACAGAATTCTGCCTACGAGATGGCATTCGCGGATATTGCGAGCTGTATTTGGTCTGCGAGCGGTTCGAAAAGTTGCACCGATGTGTGTGTCTTGTGCTTGTAGTTAGCACGTGGGCATAGTTTCTGCTGCTTTGCATGGTAGTCGTGGTATCGGACATGTTGTGAATTGTGAACCCCTTTTCGGCTCAGATGCAAACATGTTGTGCGCAGAAGGCTTAAAGCCCTCAAAGCTTTGAGGAAATGGAGTCCATGAAACGATCGCCGACATTCCTTGTGGGCACGGTGCAGTTCTGCTGGCTTGTTGGATGGCAACCAGAGCATGTTACCCAGAAAGTCAATAATTGCCTCGCATGACAGGCAGAAAGACATCCTCGGAGAGTTTCAAAAAAGGGAGCAGCATTACACGGAGGAGTGCGCGATTGAGGTGAATGATCTTCACTCGTCGTGTCGATGTTGGCCGATGTTTGCTGTTGGACCACTTGAAGGTACTCTAAGAACAAGCCGTTGTGCTTCAGCGCGAGGGCCTTCCAGCAGCCGCATCCAGCAAAAGTCCGAATGGGCTACAAGGCCGGTGTCCAACTCAGTTTCCTGTAGCTTCACGAGAGACATGAGGATGCCGATGCCACGCTGACTTCTCCTATGCTGTTGGGTGTTTGTGACGGAGTATCGCAACTAGAGGAGCAAGACGTGGCTCGCATGTCGCCAACACCTGCAGACCTGCAGCAATTGTAGACTTTCTAGCGTTGCAGGAGTTTCAAATGGACCCGTCGCTGCTGCCAAACGAGCTGTTGCGAACGTGTGAGGCGGCAAGCATGTTCAGAGCTGTTCGAACCCTGTCAGTGTCAAGTCGCCTGAGGAACTCGCGATGCTGCAGCTTATGCCCGACACGAACATTGCACCACAAGACCAGTGACCTCAGCAGAATCGAATCACTGTGAGCTGCTGCTTGCCACCCGCAAGGTACAGAGGTCCTATTTCCCTTCTCAAAGAAGCGTGTCTGGGACAGCATTCGGACGGTCTACAGCCAGTCATGCGCCAGCGCCAGAGACCAATTCCCGCTTGCCAGCGAGGTATCAGGAGACAACTAGCTATGGGTCGGATGCCCAGTTTACTCTTCGTACAACCTGTCGGAGCAGCCGCAAGTCCATGCGAGGTCCACCACGGTCCTGTTAGCAGCGCTCGACAACAGCACCAGGATCCACGGGAAGGTTCCGGTTGATCGACTTGTTGGAGGTATCCTCATATTTGCATTCGGCACAGTTGCATCCCATGATCGCGGTCCTGTCGATCGGCGACTGTGAGTTGCTGATGCTGTCCAGCCCTCACCGGCTTCCGTGCTGGAAGTCTGTTCTTGGCATGTGAGCGCCGTGCAGGAGAAGGACCAACGGGCGACAGTCTGAATTAGAGGCTCATCGGCAGAGCGGTCGCGGTATGGCGCAGCCTAGTGGAGCTGAAAGGCAGTTTTCCACACCGAGATGCAGCGAATCGACTACAACGTGCAGACGCCGCTGCAGCTCGCGCGCGTCGACGAACGCATCGACGAGGACCAGCACTAGGGCTGCCGCCATGGAGCAGCGCCAGAACACGCCTGTCCCTTGCACTCCTGAGCAGTCACTTCACCTCTTGCAAAAGCCGCTCGAAGTCCATACTTGCCTGCTCGTAGGAGTTCGATGAGTCCATCGCACTCGAGGCCAGCATCTCTGTGCGTATTCTCACTTTTCATGCTCATGTGCTGACGCAGCAACTCAAGCCTTATGGAATGCTGCTGCAGCTTGTCGGCTCAAGTTGCCCGGAGCAACCACCTCCAACAGCAAGGGCGGTCTCAACTGAAGGACGACTGCTCGCTTTGCCGACTGGAGACGCAGGTCCTGGGTCGGTCATTGGCGGATCCTTTCTCCGCTGTCAGCCCCAGGACATACAGCATGCTGAAGGGCTTCGCTTTCAAGATTCTGGCGCCGAAGGACATCACTGGGGTGCCTTTCTGCATGCAGGAGCAGACCAGTCGCTTGTGGAATGTTGTGCTCTTAAGGTGTTGAACATGATTGGCGTGCATCCAGCCGTGGCTGCAGACAACATAGACAGGCGGCAGCAGAGCACCCCTGTCCATGTCACCGTGAGCCTTTGCGATTTGCTGATACCGGGAGGCCTTCTGCAGACAATGCCATGGCTTTCTTCAACGCTCTTGCAGAGTTTGCCTATGACATGGACCGCCAAAAAAATCACTCCGCCATAATGCGTAATATCTAATCTAGCCACTGCACACAAAGACACAGAGCAGAGTGGGCAGACGCTCTTCCGGCAAGCACCCCGTCAGGTCATGATGCTCACTGATAAGTCAGCAGAGGAACTGTTCGTTTCGAGATGTGCATAGAGGAAATGCCATGGAATGACCATCCGACGGGGGAGGGGAAGGAGTCGACCGGCGTCGAAACCCGAATATGGGGTGGAAGCCGAGTCCAGGCGGCCGGCGGCCCTTCAAGTATGTTCAAGTGCCTTGGCACAAGGGTGCGCCTCCCAGACGCAGCAAACCAAAGTCCAAAGCCCAGGACCAGGCCAAAGTGCGCACGGAAAGACGATGTGCCAACCAGGCACCGACGACAAAGTGATCTGCTCAGCGAGAGGCTCCTCCGAACACTCGGTCGCCAGCAAGGACAAGGTCTCTGGGGTTTGGCCGGCCACCCGCAGACGTGCCGGAGCGCGCTCTAGCACGCAAAAGGGGACCGGACAGCCGGGAGTCAAGACGATAATCCTGACGAGCACAGAACCATGCGCGCCGCCGCGCCGCAGCGCAATTCCAACCAGAAGGAACGTCAATCAGACAGTCGGCATTTTCTTGTGGGTTTGCAAACTGGCGATGCCGCGAGACAATCACCATTCATTAAGGGCTGAAATTGATGTGGGAGAGTCACTGAAGAGAAGGAAGCCAACTCCGCATGAGCGGAGCTGTCGAAGAGTGCCACAGCAGCGAAGCGACAAAGCAGTGAAGCCTTGACTGCTGGACTTCTGCAACAGCAGGACTCCCAACAAGTGAAGGCACAGATGCCTGCCGTGACACCTCACCCAGAAATCTATGACGAGGCCAGGAACCGTGACTGATTAAGAATCTGGCCGCCTCCGCATGCTTCGCTGTGAGGCCATGGATTTCCTGACCATCTTCAAGCTCTCAAGGCAGGGTACGCGCGGTGAGTCCAGGGTGAGTGGTGGCATGCGCTGAAGCACGAAAGGCAGCTTGCAATGATAAACCTCGTGGACGACTTTAACTTCAAGGCCTCGCTGCGGTCGAACGCTGCTAGATTCTGCTAGATTCTAGATTTTCGTGGCATAAGTTGTGTCTCGGCCTCGGCTGTCAGTTGCCTTTGATTCTGGAGCGGAAGCTTGTCTCTGCCCAGCTCGTTCCGTTGGGTTCCCACACCAGCGGAATTGGTCGTGAAAAGCTTCAGGTGACTAGGAGAAGGGTGCCAAGCTAGCGACGTACGATAAAGTCGCCGGGGGGAAGCTTCTTTGCGGGCGCTCGGGGAGCCAGCGGGGGGGCACGTGGAGGGCTAAGACAATCTGCTCACAAAATGAAGGCAGATGCGCTGCAGGAATCTGTCTGTTATAGTCTGTTATCAAGTCGGCTCAAAAATTATTTGGCACTCCTGTCATTGCATGTTTCCCAGTCTTTTCCGAAAGGACTTCTGGGATCCAGTGCCGAAGCGGTTTCGAGCGCTGCTGAGACACGTGGCTGCACAAACCTCGGGTCAGTTGTTTCATTTGGCCGTGTCTGTTATGGCCGGCTGAAAGGTTTTGTACGTGGAAGTCTTGTATGCACCGATTGATCGGTAGCAAGACCCTTCCATCCATCAGGTGGCATGATCAACTTCTGCCGGTATAAAGAGGAGCGGGGTTGAGCGCCGGCGTTGTTGCTGCCAACCATCGTCCGTCGACCAAGTGCCGTTGGTGAGGCGAAGGTGGTAGTCATCACTGGCATGAAGGAGGAGTGGGTCGGTGACGCAATGCACCGGGCTGCTGGCAGACAGTTTCATGCCTTTGGCGAAATTAAAGGACGTGCAAGCTTTGGACTCTACGAGATTGGAAATGGTGGACAAGCTGAACCAGGCTTTGATTTGGTGTTTCATGTCACGGTCAGCTTGTGGCCAGTGCGGCTTTACAGCTGTTTGTTGTGTTGTTTCTATGCCCGCCACAACTGCCCCTAAGCTTGTCTGCAGTTACGGGCCATCGTCTACGGGGGAGTAGAACAGAGAGAGCAGGCACTTTCGACACAGAAGGTGCCGTGTCCGAAAGATCAGGGGTCTGATGGCATGCCGTTTCCGCACTGGCCCGGTGGTCATCGCAGGGAAGGGATGGCTCGCCAGCACTCCGACAGCTCGGACTCGAACCGGAGGGCAGGCTCTGCGCCAGGGGTTTCAAGAAAGCAAGTAAGAAAGAGATAAAGAACGACAGGAAGAAAGACACCCAATTCACTGAATGCAGCCCACAATATCAAAAAAGTGATCATACTCAGCACTGCCTCCTATGCAACCCACACCATCCAAGCACGAATAACCATGCTTAGGGTTGCCCACAATCTTTTACGCTACACCAAGCAATCCAAACGCGAAGAACCATGCTAGGTATCGCCTAGAATCTGTTTTGCTGCCGCACCAGGCAATCATCATTGGAAGTCTTGCCTCTAGACCCAGTACTCCAATGCACTCACACCATCTAAACACGAATACTCATACTAGGTGCTGCCTAGATTTCTTTATTGTTACACCGTACCATCGGTATTGATCACCATCACATTCAAATACCCTCAAGTATTCTTAGTTGTAACTGGCCAGACCACTTCAATAAGAGTCATCATGATTCGTATCCTCATCATCGCATGAGCCTGTATTACTGCCTCAAAATGTAGTTATGTCACCTCAACTTCTATCTAAATGGTAGAAACCCATCATCAGAATGCAGCATAAAAGCCGAATATTGATTGCTTGCCTTACCAAAGTCACGAGATCCGGCATCATGTTTAAAAACGAATCCTCTTTTGCGACGCCGACACCGCCAACCAGCCCAGTTGTAAGGACATGCGAATCCAGCTGGAAGCATCCGGCAATCTATCATTTCATGTAGGTGCCAACGAACCTATGATAGTTTTAACTCTGCCATGTACCAATCACGCAATACTTGTTTATGTATTGATGATGATAGCACCATATGAATATATGAGATCCATTTAGTATGTAATTTACGGCTGTTTGAATAGTGGTATGGTCTCTAGGAATACATCCTTAAATTCGGACCCCCAAAACTCCAATCCCTGGACCCTTCACTCTCAACCCTACGCTCTAATCCGTATACCCGCAGCTCTGAACTCTAACTCCTGCAAAGAAGAGTAGCTTCAGTGTCGGGGGCTGGCCAGACCCTTTACGTTTGGCATGCAGAATTTCGTGCTCTCCGGGAAATCGCTATAGCCCTTAACATTTGATTTATCTAATCTAGACCCCCATTCGAGAGTTTCGACATAGACCGTCACAACAAGTTCCTTGTTTTATGGAGGTGCCCCCAGCTTGAAGAAATCCACCAGCCGGGTTCTACTCCGGAAGCACGACGATACTCTTGAGAAAGCTTTGGCGTTGCAAGGTTTTCGAAGCTTGTAAGCCAACAAATGGACACACACACTCACAACCCAAAAAGTGTACGAGGACGCAAGTCACGAACATTAGGTAACGTTCCGAAGCCCACATCGCAGCACCACAACAAAAGTCCTGGTTCCTGCATGCTCCTGCCAGAACCGATGCTCGTTTCAGTTTCCCCGTCTTGGCTTTGTCGTGTGTTGGCAGATGTTGGAATCGAAATAACAACATGACCCAGGTGAAGGAACAGTCAACAAGTTACAAGTAATGTTTAACACCCACCTGTGGGTCGGGCCAGTGCCTACAAGCAGCAAACTTGCGACGATGCGAGGAGCTCGGGTCAACAGCCCAGGAGGCCTTAAGGCTCGAGTAGACGACAAGGCATTCCCTGCCCAAGGTGCCAAGGTCGTGATGGTCGGCTTGGGCATGACGGCATGAAAGGGTTTTGGTCTCTACAACAGCACGTGCATGTGCTATGTGTGTGCCATCCACAGAAAATACAGCCCGGCATTGTGGCATCGTCTCCGTCTTGCTTGCCAGTGGTGCTTCGTTCAGCTTAAGGCTTATAACGGGGTGTACGGTATACGCACTGCAGGTTGATGCAGAGCTTTCTGCTGCACAAGACCGTCACAACGCTGAGCTGCAAGACATGTGGACTGCCGAGAACGAGGCTCTGAAGGGCCTTCTTGAGCCTCTTCAGGGTTTATAGGGGGGAATTGGAGGCTGCAGAGGCGAAGGCCATCAACGACAAGCTCACACGACAGCGCAACTCTGCAGACCGCGCGCCGCCCTCGGATTTCTGCAAGCGCAGTGCACTGCATGAAGTGCGCGCAGTAATTACTGGGGCTCCGGCGCGTCAACATGCATCGGTGTGTCACCGGCGTTATCATGCGCAGTACACTGCTGTCAAGGTTGTGGAAGATGCAGAAAGAAAGCGGACATCTGTGAAGGTTGGCCATGTTTGGCAACCGATCGCCTTAGGTTTCGAAGTGATGTGCCGGGAGGAGCGAGTCCGGCAAGGAGAACAGCGAATTGAGCAGTTGCGGGAGCAGGCCTGGCTCGATGGGGCCCATGTATGCGCATGTGCGGAGAGTCTTCTTGCTCTAAACCTGTCGGGAGGTCACTGCACTGCAGAGCCAGATTGCTGAGAGCCCCGAGGGCTTGGAGAAGGCAATTCTGCAAACAGCTTTGGCCGAGTCTCGACATCACGGCGGCGAGGAGATCGAAGAGCTGAAGAGTGGTGTGTGCCAGCTGAAGGCAAGGCAAACCAAGCAACATGAGCCTTGTGTACCTTCACTGCGAAGTGCAGCGGGCCACTTTCAGTTCTTCCTCATAAAAGAGGTCGAATACGTCTGCAAGACATCCGACACGTAATGCACTGTTCCACGCGGAGAAACTGATCTGAACCTACTGGTGCTTGGGAGGCAGTGCTTGAAGAAAAAGCCAACCAGCGCAGGGCGCATTCTCAGCGAGATCAGGTTGTCTGCAGGCTTGGACATGCCTGCAAGAAAATGCGCTCTTCAAACGACGGCTCTGAAGGCTGCTCAGGCATCTTGAGAGCTACAAGGATGAGTCGCTTGTCTTGAGCTGGTCGTCTTGGCACAGAGACTTGGGCAACGCTAGCTTCGATTTGAAGCATGCTTTGTGCTCAGGCTGACCCGCCAAGGACTCAGAGCGATGCGGAAGTACCTTGCAAATGCTCGATTGAAACCAGGTGACGGGAGTGTGCATTTGTCTTTCACACACAGGTGTCGGAAGTGTTGCAGCGAACGCCGAGAATGCAAAGCAGCGTGCAGCTGCCGCGAGAGAAGATTTAGCAAACCTGCGGCAGTCTCTCGAGGCCGTCCGACTAGGTGTTAATCATTTAATCATGCTCACGTTTCTCTTCTCCTTGGCCAGAGTGTCTGCACAGCGACTTTTGCACGTTCTGATGGTTCCCCACCCATATTCAAAGGTTTGTGCTCTGCGACGGGGAAGTGCCTGTAGCAGCTGTCCTTCGCCGGCCTAAGAGAGTCCAATCAATGTCGGCAAGGGCGACGACAAAAGTTAGAGTGGGTTCCATAAACCGACGAATCACTGTTCCACTCTCACCATTGGTGGGTGCCGGCTGCATAGGCTACCAAGCAAGACGGCACTGAGCTCGAGCAGTGCGATGCTCAAATGTGCTGACGAAGCAGCATCAGCATGGTGAGGGTCTGCGAGCAGCTGCTTGAGAGCTGACGTTTTCCAGATCCGGTCCACGCGCATGAGGAATCATATAGTAAGGGTTTAGAAAGTTTAGTACTTCGGAAACTGTGGTGAGGTCCTTGAAAAGTGTTGTGGTGGACAACGAGAGAGCCAAGCAGGCACACGGAGCTCCAAGTGTGGCTTTCTCAAGAGCGGTGGGTGTCCTGCGAGGTGCATGCTGAACGCATGGAGCAGTTGGAGGTGCGCACAGGGAGCTGCGTCTTTGCACTCACCATGATCCTTCTGTTCTGAGCCGTCCAGGTACGGCGACAAGCAGCTCTGCTGCAGCACCAAGAACTGCAAGCAAAGCGGTCAGAGGCTGCCTGCTGCACCTGCAAACAGCCAGAACTGTACTTCAAGAGCGGTGTATAGCGAGGAGCAGCGACAGCTTCACCAGCTACAGTCGCAACGTCTTGAACTGGAAGCCGAGGTGGGGTCAACTAAAGCCGCTGATGATCATTTAGGATTTCTCGGGCTTCCATAGTGCATGTACCTACAGGCCAGAACGAAGCCACGCTTGTTGTAGGGGGCTTGAACGGAGCAAAGTGGGCGCATGTACTACGGTCTCTCATGCATTGACAGCACTTGCGCCAGAACGCCATAGAACGCCTATTTAAATAATTTCGCGTGGAGCAGACAGAGAGACATGACATGCAAAACGGGAGATGGGCCACCTCGGAAAGCAGCGGGGAGTGCGTGCGCGGGTATGGACGGTGGGACGGAAAGTTGCGTTCGGTGCCACATTGTCAGCGATGTGAGGTGCAGTGCCAACCTTCCTCGACTCAAACGCAAGTTGGTTTCAGGTCGCTGCCGTTCGACGCGCGCACGCAGCTGAGATGGGAGAACTCCGTGTGACGTGGAAGGCGGGTCTCCATTGCTATGTATAATTGCTGCAAGTGAGGGACACGAGCCAGGCTGTCATTGATAAAGCAGAGTCCTACAACCTCTCCTTGGATGCTCTTTTTCATGAGCACTGCGCCTTGGAGAAGATCTAATGCTCTCATCTGAATGAAGCGATCAACTGTGTCGTGGGTCGGTCGTTTGGCAATTTCACTGGCATGGCGTAACATCGTTTCCACTGCAGACCAAAGAGCAAAGGTCATGTTTCACGGCAGCTGATGTCCGGTGAAATTGCAACTGCCAGGTCATGAAGACGGCACAGTGCTCTGAGTTCCCGCATGTGGCAATGGTCATGCCTGCATGCTGGCACCGGCACCAGCAACCTTTGGGCATCGGCAGCGCTGTTTAGCAATTCGCAGCCGCATTGCACGCAATTGGATTGCACGATCGCTGATCCCGGCCTACTGGAGCATGCTCGGCAAAGAGCTGCTCTGGAAGGCATAGTTTTTTGTGTGGTGAAGATCTTTGTTAATGCAAGCAGCAAGCTACTATCCGACCCTCGAGTCACAACCTCGCTCAGCTCACGACCACTTGAAGGGCGGTACCGAAGTTCGGATTTGTTCTTAGTCGCGGAGGTCATCGAGAAGGGCTCAGCGGTGCACTGCGTTTCCGCGTATGAAGGTGATGCCAGGATCTGAGCGGACGTCTGACGACAGCCTGCGCAAAATGCATGTCAAGTCCAGAGATTTCGAGTGGCTTTGTTGCGAGGTGCTCATTCTGGGCAGCGATGGCGTGCCTGTCTCTGAAGGAGAGAGCTGCAAGGGAGAGAGGAGCCAACTAGTCCTAGTTCGAGCCCGACAGAAAAATTCTCCATATTATTTTGCAGTCAATGAGTCCATGAAAGCAACGCAGAGTCAGAAAAGCAATGACAAACAAGCGAATGGTTCTAGTGTCCCCAGTCTAGTCGACACCCTGGACTCGGACAAAGGAAGGGGAAAGATAACTTAGAAGCGCTATTCTTCCAAGCAGATGTGACAGATGTAGGACGCCCGTGAGGCCACGCTCAAACGGCGCAAACCTCTACAGTAGATATGCCTGTGAGAAGATAACCCACTGTCGGCCACCGGATTGAGAATCGCCGGGAAGCCATAACATGTGCAAAGCAAGATTCAATGATCCGGCCACAGAAATTTGCCGATGCCGGCACAAGCACAGGGGCAATAAACAACCTGACGCAGTCAGCTGAGTTTCTAGAGCATGTTCGGCTCATGACATGATTATTCTGAGGTCTTTGACAACCTCTTCTTGGATGAGATCGTGGAGGTGTGAGTCTTGTGAGATGGTGGGAGGGGCCGCGACTGTGGCATGCTCTGCCCTTTCTGTCTGTGTCTCTCTGGCATGCTGCCCTGCGAGATCTGCAACGAAATCTTGCCGGCACCGACCGGCAACCACTTCTCACCGATGCCAGCACAATACCTGAGCCAGGCAGCGATTCTCTGATTCATGCATTTGACCTCCTCATCCGATTTGTTGAGCACGACTTCCGCTGATTGTTGAGACACTGAGCATTTCTTTAATGACAAGTGAGAGAAACTTTCGCAGACGATCAGATGTTGGTATTCAGACACATTGGGGACGCCCGGCGTATGTCGATAGAGGTCGGGAACTCTGCATGTCACGTGTATTTTTATGTATGTATGCATGCATGTATGTATCATTTTGTATCTACAGGTATGTGTGTATGTATGTATGTATGTATGTATGTATGTATGTATGTGACATATGCCTGCATGCACACATGCAGGCGACCAAAAGCCGTAAATCAGTGACTCAGATAAGCAGCAAAGACTCAGAAGTGCTGGATGATCTTGGACCCTTGTATGCTATGTCCGCTTCATCTCTCGATCTTGCTGATGGTTTCCAGAGTTTTCCCGATGAGACGCTGGCGTACTAGCTTGTAGCTGATTCCCGGTTTAGAGCAGTCTTACTTAGTCGTCCCTGGAGGCAGCTCAACGCATCGTGAAGGAGTCCCACGCGAAGTCCGACTGTGTCAATGGGCAGTTCCTCGACACTCCCATTGGCAAAGGCGTGGCTGCCCCGCAGCCCAAGCGAAGCTAATAGGCGTATGCCTTCTCTATTTCGGGCCTTTGGAGGTGGGAAGGTGGACGACACCTCTGTGGTTGTAGGCGAGATCATCGAGTGGACGGAAGCTCACACACAGATCTGGTCGGAGGCAAACCGCAGTAAGCTGGTGCCACTCAGTGGCAGATAGATACAGACTGGCAGGTGAGAAGAAATCGGCGTTGGAAGGACGTCATCTCCTGTGGTGGCCTGCAGTCCCCACCCTGGCTAAGCGACTATGCGAGTATTTCTCACGGTGTGCTGCACTGTGGAGCCCACACCTGGCACTCAGGTGCGACATGGGCCCAAGACATCCTTGCTCCTGCGAGGTGCAGAGCCCAGCCCGCCCATGCCCGGCTCAGCCCACACCAGACTGCTCATAGCATCATTGGCAGCGGACGATCATACCCCGAAATTCCCGAGAGTCACTGTCCCGGAGCCTTCGTCGCCGAGAAGGGCGAGAGGGGCAGCGCAAGACAACATGCACGTGCAGCTGCAAGATCGCACAAAGCATGTCCATGTCGTCAACACTGGCTGGCCAAAGTACCCCAGCAGGGTGAGACATTGTCATCTCTTGAATGTGACAGGGTGAGGACGATGAGCGGAGCCGGTTTCGTGGGCGAAGTGCGAACCTAAGCATAAAGCCTGCTCACGACCTCGAGAGGGCTTCAGGTCGACCAAGTGGCATAGTTTGAGGCCATGTGTTGGATTCTGAGGCGAAGATGCTAGCGAGTGTTCCTCCCAGTCTTTGCGGTTTATGCGAGATACCCCACTGTCTTGCAGCTAACCCAGTCTGCTACAGGGATGGCTCCTCCGACGAAGAGGAAGGTGTTTGCTCCATCGCGTAGGAGTGCTTGTTTCACGGTTCCGTAGATCCAGCCGCTCACCGTTCTGCATTGCCGGCAAAAGTTTCTTTAAATCGCGAAGGCAAAATGTCCAAGGACGGGCGCAGCTAGCTGCGTAATGATATGGTGTACTGTACGGTCAAGACGTCAGTGCGTAACTACCAATTTCCGCTGCGTGGTCCGTTTTGTGATGTCTATTGGAACAGCTTCTTATCTGACCTCGCAGATGCAGAATGTCGAGGTGGCCAAGAGAATTATAGGATGTTGTTGTACTCTTTCAAGTAGGCACATTGATGGCAAAGTGTGTGGCCTGGGACATCACTCGGTCGTAAAGCCTCACAGCCTGAGCGCATGGGCACTTAATGCCTGCAATTAAGAATTCACGCGGATCTTGGTGCATAACCACCGAGTGAACCCAAGAACAAAAAAAGCGCGAAACTTTTGCGATGTGGTTGAAACGATCGCACTGCACCTTGCACTGTCGTTGCTACAAGCGTCGACGATGTATTACAGAGGACTTTCATTCGAGCCTTTCCTGGCTACACAGTCTGATTCGAAAGCGACTTGCTGACAGCACGATAGCCAACACATTATCCGTAGATGAGAGGTTTCGGAAATTATCTGCGTGACTATCGGCTGTGATCAGCAGCAGAGTACTGGTGATGACCGAAGTTAGCAGCCCTAGCACACACACACACAGACACTGTCTTCACCCAGCACCACATGGCACATGTCCATGCAAAGCATTTCCATCGCTCGCCTTGAACGTTGCAATGGTATAGGCTATTTTCCAGGCTCTGGTACTGTTCGTGATGGACAAGACGGACGAGGCAGTGTTCGTTGGCGTGAGGCTGCGGCCCTTTCTGAGCTACGAATCGCGACAGCAATGCCTTACCGCTTCCGGGAAGCTAATCTCCGTGGTCGGAGAATTTCCTGACAAGAAGAAGAAGGACTTCGCATTCGATTGTGCGATGGACAGCACTGATGCTTCCAAGCCGGACTACGTTTCGCAGGAGAAGTGCTACGAAATGATAGGGCGCAGAATGGTGCAGCATTCCATTTCCGGGTATCATACGTGCCTGTTCTGTTACGGGCAGACCGGCAGTGGAAAGACCTTCTCTTTCATGGGCAAGAAGAGTGAGCCGGAGCAGGGTCTGCTGCCGCGGCTCTTGCGGGACCTCTTCGGAGAGGTGGAATCCTTGCGCAGCTTGGGTGGCCAAGTGCAGTGCCGGGCGCAGATGCTGGAAGTCTACAACGAGAAGGTTCGTGATCTGCTCGAGGACAAGGAAAAAGCCAAGGCGCCAGAGATTCACGTGCATCCGAAGGTGGGGGTCTATGTTGATGGTGCTACCGATGTGCAGATTGAGACTCTGGAGCACCTTCAAAAACTGCTGGAAACCGGGCTTTCGAGGGCAAGCGTCGCAGCCACTATGCGAAATGCTACAAGTTCTCGTGGACATACACTGTTCAGGCTTCTAATGGAAAAGCACGAAGCTCACACAGTGGTCTCCTCTGAGGTTTTCTGCGTGGATTTGGCGGGGAGAGAGAACGAGAAGACTACGAAAGTAACTGGTGAAAACTTCGTAGAGCTCACATTCATCAATCGAAGCTTAATGTGGCTTGCCCAGTGCATACAAGGGCTTGGGCGGCAAGCGCGTCAGCGCGGGAACTCAGACGAAGTTGATGGCCCGAGCCGTGCTCGATTCCGCAACTCCAAGCTCACCTTGCTGCTCTCCAATGCACTCACGGGCAACTCGAAAACGTGCCTGTTGGGAACGCTAAGTCCAGCAGCGGTCAACTTAGATGAAAGCTATGTCACGCTGAACTTTGCGAGCACTGTTAAGAGCATCAAGGTTACTGCAAAGCGTGTTGCGAAGGTGGACAAGGACTCTCTCATCCAAAGCTTGAATGAAGAGCTGCGAAGTCTGAAAGATCAGCTGAACAGCGCGACACCGAGAAATGCGCAAGACCTCGATTCTCAAGCAGGCTTCATTCGTAATATGATGGAGAGCTACAAGGCTCGATGGGAAGAGGCGCAGAAGAATGCAGATCTCTTGCGAAGGCAGAAGGATGATGCGTTGCAAAATCTTGCAATATCGAGGTGGAGGTTTGCGAGAGCCACAGTGAAAAACGAGCTTCGGGATGAAGCGCGAGATGCGCGAGCAGACGCCGCGATCGAGCATTTGCAGGGCACGCCTCCCTCCCAAGGCACGCAGTCGAACGGAGCTTCTCCGGTTAGCCCAGAGAGCTTCGAAGTGCACTTCGACCCGCACGAGCCAAGCCAGCACAGGCTCTTTCCTGAAACTGGTGCTTCCCAAGTAGAAAGCATGCGATACCAGCAGTCGGTGGCCATGAACTCTGCAGAAATGGGCGCATGGTTAAGCCACTGGCGAACACCGGCCGCATCAGATAGCTGCTTTTTTGCAATTCAGATCGAAGCTGTTGTCCTTTCTGGGCAACTGGAGTCCACACGGGCCACTGCTTCACTGAGGAGATGGACACATGCTCTCATAGTCTGGGTGGGCCGTTGTTGTGACTCAGGGGTGGCGTATTGACTATTGATCTTCATGGCGGCATTGGAGTCGCATGCTACTGTGGGGTTGGTAGAACATATTATAGATACTTGAAATATCAACTCACGAGTTGTCTACATGGGCTCCATCAGAGAACATGTTTAACATGTGACGTGTCGAGAAGCTGAGGTCCAATGCAGCCAGCCTGCATTAGTTCCCTGAAGCCAACGTGCTTTGCTTTCGACGAGTGCTTAGTGCATAGGCCCGCGAGTCTCATTGTCTCAACATAGCACAAGGTGGCCACCGATACCGAGACTCTCGGCTCGAAGAAGTTCCAACTTGGGTTTAGGGTTTAGAGTTTAGAGTTTGTTTTTGCGCATTGCGCTTTGTGTGTTTTTGTTTTCTCTCTGTGTGTGTGTGTGTGTG